TAGAAAGTTCAAATTTGGCATGAGCCCAGGCGGCCGGATGAGAACACTTATGGTGAGTGGCAGAACCGGACTCTGTCCACAACGGGTGGGCTTTGAGCGGAAAATCATAACTCCTCCAGGGGGCGGGGCTTGCAGAGAAATGTCAAAATGGACCTAGAGCGACCAAACTCTGTAGGAATACAGGAGGCAGGATATGAACACTGATGATAGGTTGCAAGACTAAATTCCGCCCTAAAGGGCTGGGCGTGAATAAATTAGATTAGACCCAGACCGTTGAAACTTGGAGGCACATGGAGTTGGCTGGGAACATAGATGGTAGCTAACATAGTAGACTCAGCCGCGATGAAGTCTCTGAATACTTTTCTTTCTTTGAATAAGCGCCTTTGTGATGTTATGCGATGTTCTATTCGGACACAGCGAAGATGGCTCACAGAAAAAAAAAACGCTCTTAATTGGGAGCTGATACTGAGGGTGTAGAGTTTCCAAAGAAAAAAGAGAATCCGAAGTGTTATTTACACATAGCAAATTTCTCACAGGATGGAGGAGCGCCCGGCGTAGCCGGGCGAACCCCTGAGAAGGAGGGAAGCCCGGCGTCAGCCGGGCGACCCGACTGGTATAGAGTATACTCGTTCAAGAATATAAATGGTTTGTCGCAATTCAACGACAATTCGGCAAAAGTACACCAAAGATGAAGGAGTCAATGATTACACAGAAAAACCAAGCCTCACACACGCTACCAAATTGTTCTCTATCCGAAAATAAATATGTGCTTACGAACACTATAGTACCATGAGTGGCGTTATGATAATGCTTCTTTCAAAGATTCTCAAGGTAGAATGGCATAGAGCTTGTTTCCTTCTCGTACATCGGTTGCCTCTTACGCAAATTACTTAATCAAATACGGTAGGACAGCGGACGTTTCACAACTCCCATGCAGTCATCAAATCGAATATCCGCAAGAGGGAAATCAGGTCAAAGGACAGTCGGTGGCGTGTTTCAATCGCGCTCGTGTGGAGCCACTGTTTTTCGTATCCTTAACTACTCGCTCTATGTATTTGAATGTTCTCCGAGCTCGACGTTTCCTCATTCTCAGCCCCGGAGCTGTTCCTCCATCAAGTTGTTTTCTCGACCCAGATACAAGAAGCTGGAGCATTTAGGGACATTCATTTCTTTTACTGTAGAAAGATCAATCCGTTTGTTATATCGTCTTCGTTGGACGAAGTTGGTGTAGTGGCAAGTGGCACATTTGCAAAGCAAGGTCATGAATTAAAACTACGGAACGATATTTGCCCAGGCCAACAAAACTTTCCATACATCCAAGATTCGTTAATTGGCACCACACACACTGGTCATTGGAAGGAAAGAACTGACCTGTAAATCGGCTGACCACCGATTTCATCTACAGGCTACAGATGTATTCAATACGCCACTACGATCCCTCTAAATGGAAGTAGAGTGCGCGGGCGCGTCCCTCAGACGGGATTGATTAACGCCCAAGAACCTTGTTACAGTGCTGATGTGATCGGTTGTATTGAACCGTTCCTCCTAGTATGGATGTCCTTATCTAGTACTCTGCAAGTCCCGTCAAGGATGACACGTGTAAAAGGTGAATAGTAGATTACAGACAGCAGGCAGGCTGATCGGCAGCCGCCAATATCGTCCGGACTCCCCTTCTCAAACAACACAGCCTTGCTAGTTCTTAACGACGTAAATATTTCGCATTTCGACAGGTACCGTGTGAAGAGCTAAGCCAAGGTTTTGACAAGAAATGGTTGAAAGTTCCTTACATGCCTTGATTCAATCCTATTGGGATCAGGCCGTACAATTTTTCATTGACGGGATGTCATTGCGAGTCATATCAATCCTATAAGAGTATGTAGGCAGGTAGACGTGGCTAACGAAGAGATAGAACTAGAATTCTAGAGGTTCATTTTCATAACCCTTCAAAATGCAGTAATTGTTCCTTTAGGACGACCAATTATAGTCATCCTGGTCTTGATATGGGCGGAGCTACTTTGGACTTCGCGAACGCTCTTCCCAGTTTCGGTGCCTTCGGCCATAACTACCGCTCTTTCCCTTTCAGACATTCTTTTATAACTTATCTGTATAGCTTCACAAGTTCGGAGATTAGTTGATTAGTGCTTGTTGCTCACGTTCAACGCTGGCGTCAACTCGGAAATCTTCGAAGGGAGACGTGTATGCGCAACTTGCAGACTACCTGCTTTCTTCGCACTACTGAGAAGATATTAGACGAACCAGTCATATTCGTCATCAAAGTTGTCAATAACGAAACTTTCACATGAACTCGCAAGGAGGACAAAGTAATTCCAATTAATGGCGGATGCGATGTTCGGGGTAGTTCGTTCCTTATATTTTGTACCACTCTCTCAACGCTTTCAGAACGGAGAAGAAGTGGAGGAAACCACCGACGGTCCAACCCGTGCAAAAGTTAGAGCCACAATGACGTCAATCAGGCAAGGGTTTCAACTAGAGATGAGTTTGAATAGTATCCCAAGCCTACCGTGATTGAACGGGCGTTGACACGACATTCGCAGAGGGTTTTCAACCCTTTTCACTCCATCCCGTTCCGTAAGTTCCGATGTGAAAAATTCTAGATGTTCTTTATCGAGGTCTATTTCGTCAAGGCCGGGCGGGCTCCGGTGTGGTTCAGCTAGTTGTCCAGAGCCCGGGAAGCGTGGGTACCCATCTGTTAGCACAGGTGCTACAAATGGGCTTTTTCTCCCGAACCTGAAGAAGCTCCAATACAGCAGAGTCAGGTAGAACCGGTCGGAAGAGCATGCTAACATTTCATGACCCAAGTCTAACAATCTCCGTAGCTCACGCATCAACGTAAAGCGACGATGATGAGAAGCTGGAAGCCTCTATATGAACTTAGGAAGCTTTACAGATAGTAAGGCAGATAGATGGGAATTATTCTGCAAAGATGAACGTCGATTCGACTTGTGAATTCACAGTTTCCTACAGCGCACGTCGATCGGGTATAACGGGAACTGCGCTGTAGGGTGCAGGTGAAATCTGGTCAATCAATACAAGCCAATAAATGCCGATTCGCAGTGTTATCGATCAAGGCAGCTTCCTCTGGTGTAGAGTACTCAAACTCTAAAACTATTCGGAAGGTGTTATGAGAGTATGACTACAAGGAACGATACTGATCAAGGTAGTAATGCCACGCGTTAACGGGGTAGTTCGACTTGATGTGAGTGATTACCCGAAAAGCCTGCAACAAAGAAACATTATAGATACAACAAAGAAATAAAAAGCTCGTCACGTATCAACTCCATGGAAACTCACTAGATTAGGCAGAACTAGCACCAGCACCAAAGAAATCGAAGTAGGTAATCGAAGAATTGTGGTGTTGTATTACAAGCAAATCAGAATGCATAAGGTGATAGATTTTAACATATTTCGGACGAGCAAAAAGAAACTACTCATCTGATGTGCTGGCCTCGTGTACTAGGATCCGCCTTTAGCTGCTTTTGTGAAGCAACTAAAAGAGGACTCGTCCCTTCCCCCAAACTCGACCCTGCGAGTAATCATTTGCAATGGGGAGATGTTACTATTGCCAGTTTTCTTTTAAATTGGTATTTCGTTGTGCGCCTACTTGAAAACACGTCAAACGTTATTTAGTGGAGCGCATCACGAAACAGAAAAAGCTCAATCGACACAACTCTGAATAGCCCGCCTAACGGCTTAGAGTCTCAGTTCCCCGGAATCCTTTCCTCAAATTGTAGAGAAAAGAGAGAAGAGTCAAGGCATCAACTAGAATCTCGTCAACACAGGCTTTTGCTGTCTGTGGATTGCGTTTGCATTGCTTTTGGTGAGCAATCCAGCCAATCGATCCTGCTATCGGTTTGGATACACAAAACAGGGCCTTCTACATCATACGACAGCCAAGAGAAACATATTCAAGCAAAATATATTTGAAAGAGTGCATGCCAGAGTTGCAGAGGAAGCCTTCTAATCTTAAAAGGCCTCTTTTCACAGACTCCAAAGCTCGCGCCAACCTATAGCACTGCATGGTTTTGTCTCTTGGGCGCGGACCATTTAATCTACTTGTATAGTACAATTTAATCTATTTGTATAGTAGGCTCTATTTTCAAGAGTTCACTTTAAACACATCAAACTAAAACTAACTAAAACCCAACCCACGAGATTTCGCAAAGTACAAATGTAACAAAAAACCTCGGAGTTGGAGCATGTAGATTTGTAGATTTAAATGACCTGCCAATGAATAAAATGAAATGGAAAGAAACGCGTCAAGCACTATTATGGCACCCTTTCTTTCGTGATTGGATTCGAGCACTGTGGGAGTTTTCGGGGTGATGGTGCCGATTCATAATGAGTTCCACAGAATCGAAATAAAGACGATAAAATTATTCCCCTTGCCCGGTTTGCTCAACCGGCACCGTTTAAGCCATGCCAAAATTAATTACGACATTTATCGCCGTTCGTCGGGGAATTTTAGGCAAGGCGAATCTCGATAATGGAGATGCGACTGATTTCTTCAGAGTACGCTATAGGTGACTTTCGTTTTTGGAAGAGTTCCACGATGTTGGCGCTATCTCGGAGATGAAGATACGACCTACAATCCCTTCTGTCAAAAATGTTCCACTCATGCTCTTCTGAGTTAGATTTTTGTAGGGTTACAGCCGTTCATAGTTGAAAGGATGTGCCGTTACATAAGTCGACGCACTTATCAGTCAAGAAGGACAGCTGTGGAGGCTGTCATAGAGCACGATAGCAGCGTATAATTATGTGATGTAATGTGATTTCGAAATGTGCTGGCAGGTGTGATTAAAACAGCCTGCTCAAGTATTTGTAAATGATTGAGCATGTCTAGTGCTACTTAGAAATCGAGAGCACAACACACTACAACGTCGCTGCTCGACATGCATCACCACTTATCTACTTTTCCAGGGAGACTTGGCACAGGCTTCCGAGTGCACACAATGACGCATGCACCTAAAGATATTTCCGCATTCATGTTGTCGTGTATTCTTTTGAAAAATTGGCTTTCAATAGGTGCTTGACGAATGAGCATGCCAAGGTACTTGTCCATCTTGTTTTGCGTGGTTATTATGACACCTAAAGAATCCATCTTCAAGAGGCTTATTGGTAAACCAATAAGGTGAGGTGTGCTCACCATGGCCCTCGTTCTCGAACTGTGGACGACCGGCACGACCAAAAATTTGTTGGACGTCTAATACTCCTAGATCACCAAACTGTCCTTTATCAGCGTCAAAAACCTCTGTTCCCTTAAAAGTTCCATTCGAAAAGAGGTAAGGAGGAGAGAAGGACAAAACCGTCAAAAAAAACATACGCGAATAACAACCGCATGCGCAGGCAAATTGACTCCCCAAGCGAGGGTAGCAGTACAAAAAAGCACCTTAAAGGTTGTTTAGAGAATGACAAAGAGGGGGAAAACAGGAGAAATCGAGGTCACAGACCATTATATGCCCTTGACGAAAGACATTTTCCATGAGGAGGCGATCATGTCGAACAAGACCGGCGTGATGAACGCCGAAGCCGAATCGGAAGAATTCAAAGAGTTTATGATTTCGCGATGCTTGAACCTAAAAAACAGATTAACAATGCACAAGGCGAAAATACGATCATCACGATAAGTTTACCGATTTCTCCGAGGCGATATAACTTTTCGTGCCGAATGACTGCGGAATGAACAAATCCAAGTGTCCCTTAATTTACAGAAGTTCTATTAAGTCATATATTGGGTACATGGGTACAGCCACATTAGCTGTGACCAGGGCGACAGAACGCTACTATAGCACCTACTAGAAAGCAAACAACAATTGCGAGTAGGTGCCAATTCTGAGAATCTGATCAGTGTTTTTGAGGTTACTAGGAACCGACTTAGTTCCTATATAGACGACTTCCACATCTGCTCGCAGCCAATCCTCATGAATAAACCGATGTTTATCAAAATCAGAAGAGTTCTTGAAAAGCAGAATGTTATGGTTCGATTTCCACTGATAGCTTTGGTACAGCAACTTCCAAACGTGTGACACTTCTTTACAGTGGTTACGAAGTTTCGAATTTGAAGAGGGGAGAAAAGTCTTAGACTACTAACATACAATATGCAAAATTATGGAAAATCAGTCGGGTCGCCCGACATACGCCTGACCTAATTCCTTACTTCCTTTTTACAGGTAGTTAGAAAATGTGGTTAGGGGGTACCGTTTTTATTCAACGCTGAGGGCTCAAGTGCAGTGGAGGGGTAGCCAATCCCACCTGTGCTAAGAGCCGGTCCTAAGTGAAAAAATATACCTTTTATTTAAGCCTCAGGTGACTAGGAGCGTTGGGGGTAGAGGTGAGATGATTACCTCGCACAAAAAGCTAGAATGGAGTGTGAGTTGAAAATTCAATTGAATCCCCCACCCCGGTGCTCCTCCTGAAGCTCATGGCAAGAAACTATTATTCTTGGTAAAGGAACGTTCCTGAGCACAACTACGGGGTAATTTTCTTATCTGCAATACTGAAAAAAGTGAAGGTCTCTGAACTATATTATCGCCACCGATTTTTGTATAGACACACAAAGCAGGATGCCAGTACAGATCGAAATCACAGTTTCAAAGTACCCACCACACATTACTCACTTCACGCCGCATTACTCACTCTACATCATGCTGCTTCATACACTGGTGTGCAAAACTTAGGGACGAGATAGATAATGTAACATAAAACATTGAGGACTGGGTGGAAATAAATGAAAGTGTGGGATTATATTGCCAGACCTATGACCGTTATGCACAGGAAGTTGGACATCCCTTGGTGGAGGGATAGTTCAAATAAAGCGAGAAATATGGCTACCCGCACAAATCGAGGGAGCTGTCAGGTACGAAAAAAATTCTTTTCAGTCAGCTAGCAGCTACCAAGTACTGTGGTGTTATCCTTCTATACATCATATCCCGCTGACATCGTCTGGATGACCTGGCACGAGGAAGGATCATCGAGAAACTTGAAAAGGTCGAACCATGACGAACGCAGCTTAGAAACCTGATATCGCTCACAGCGTTGTTTCACGTGCACGGGGGCATTCCGAACCTCTTACACTGCTGCACGAAGGAGAGGAGTTGGTCGACCAAGAACAATTACTCTTAGGTAAGACCGCTACATTATGCAGTAGGCAAGAAGAGATCCACGTCAGTCAGCCTCTTTGATTGCAATGTCATATAACAAAGCAAGCCATCCCACGCACTTCAGTGGTACGACGACTGCACGGTGGTGGACTCTTCGCCCAGCAACCACTACGTAGGGTTCCTTTGACCCTCGCGAATCGGCGAGACGTTTAGGGTGGTGCCTGAAGCATAACGAACGGACCGATAAGAAATGAGGCCGTTTGCTTTTTTCGGATGAGGGCAGATTCAGTCTGAGCAGTGATTCTGAACGCACCCTCATGGCCAGAGCTGGGGACACGCACTTCTCTCAGAAACGTTGTGGAACTTGATTGTTCCGGTGGTCGAGGTGTTATGGTCTGTGGAGGCATCATGCTTCGTTACCGTACTGACCTCCAGATTTTTGAGCGTGGCACCCTTAACAGTCGGCGTTGTGTGAAAAAGGAACCCCTCCCTAATGTCTATCCTTTCAGGGCTGCAGTGAGCCCCGAATTCAGTTTCATGGATAACAATGCGTGACCGCATCGAACATCCCAGGTGAAAGAGCTCTTTACACAAGAGGTTATCCAGCGAATGGAGTGGCCTGCCCGTTCCCCCGACCTGAATCCCATGGGGCACGTGTAGGATGTTCTGGGTAAAGGCATTATAGCACGTCCAAATGCACCACAGACCATTCAGTAATTGTCAATTGCGCTGAGAGAGGAGTGGAATGCCCTACCACAATAACTCATTTCCAAACTAGTGGAAAGTATTGGATCGCATTGCAGAGCATTGACTGCTGTCCGTGGTGATCGCATACCCTATAAGGAACTGCGTCGCTTTTTTTGAAGTACTAGGATAAGTTGTGAGGAACTATGTGTAATCGATACCTTTCAATAAAAATGCTTTATTTACTAGTTCTATTTCGATTGTCTGCCAGTTACTCTGTGCAATACCGTAATGATCCTCTATTTGTACGGTATAAATTTCATTGAGCTGTCGTCTGGCAGAGGTTCAGTGTTCGAAAGTTGCTTTCGTCCCTAAGTTTTGCACACCAGTGTATATACGAAGGGAACGTAGAATAGAGCGTTACCTTTATCGTAATGATAATTTTCACGGACGGACAGACAGACAAACCCCGACATACCGACAAACCGAAATACCAAGTTCCTACTTTATAAATAAGTGAGATAACCAAATCATCGCTCAACGTTTTGCTCAGCAAGAGACAATGCTAATTTCACTCTCACCGCTCCACAACGCTCACTCTAAACACGTCTTCTCAGTCGCAAACGGGTGTGTGCTAACATTAAAGTCACAACAGTTAGTCTGCATGACTGCCAAAAAATCAGTTTTGAAGCAACTTTCATATTGGCCTTTCTTGAAACCTGGACATCTACACCATAAGTAGTCAATGCTTCTATGCCGAACAGGTATTTCAAAGGCGGATTCATTCGCCTGACGCTTTGACCAGTCGTCGTTATCAAAGGCTTAAAAGCGCTTTGGAACTTCAGAGTGTTACCTATCACGCTTGGAGACCAGCTCCTAATTAGTTGCAACTGTACGAATGAAATTCCAACTAAGTAGAAAGTCCATTAGGTCAAGTCAATTCTACCTCCGAGCAGTTGCTCAACTTAGAGACGATAAAGAAATGCGACAGCCCGGTCAACCACGACCGATTAGTAGTTGACGTATACTCTCCACTATCAAAGCTCACACAGGGACTGTAAGGCTAGAGGTTACCAGTTATGTTGATGATTCATTCTTGTTATTCAAGCTTGGATTCCTGTGCCGTACCACGAAAGCCTCTAGAGTTTTTCTGGCACCAATGTTGTGTTCTTAGGCCAAAAACGTGCATCTAACGTCAAAGTCACAACCAGCATGACCTCTTCTGTGCTTTCCAAGAGGTGCCAATCGAGTAATACCTTCGATTGCTAGCCAGATGTTTTCTCAAAAGAACGCATATATGCCTCCCAGTTTATCCAATACCAGTTGGGCTATGCACGCTAATGCGTGCACCATGCCATGCCCAGTACCACTTACCTAAGATTGTTAGAGAGCCAATATAAACAGTATTGGTTGAGTTGAAATTTCACAGCTATTTCCTCACCCCGCTATGATACCTTGAACTGAAGAAAAATGATTTGAAAAGAGCATAAATCTGAGTGCTCAGGCATTGAGGTTAACCTTCGATCAGAATGCATTTTTCCTTCCGAATGCCTTAACCTTATCATGTAATTACAGTAGCGCTCAAAAGTCTTTGGCCAAACGCTTCAACGCTTTTTCGTTCATAACTTTTTTATTAGAGAAGCGACTCGCGCGAAATTTTGATATGTTTAACTAAGGCGTATTTCACACTATCTAATACTATTTGACTATGCAGCAATATTTACATAACTAAGAGCAAGGCGTTCATGCGGTATCAAATTCTGCTAAAAGCAAAGTTAGTGCCGTCTGCAGTTATTCGCACCTTATGTGCGTTTTTGTTCTCCAATGTGCTCGGCATTAGCGTTCGTACACTTTAGACATGACGAAAAGGAAAGAATTTCAGAAGGAAGCTCATTCGTATTTCCAGTTGATTTTGAGTTCAAGCTCTTTGGGATATCTGGCACATGATCAGATTGTAGGTTAATAGTGATGGATATTCACAATACACCCATGCTACATATATCGAAATTTCGCATGATTGAACCCAGAAGGAAAGCAATTACGACTGAAAAGTACGACTGAAGAAACATTTGGCCGAAGACTTCTGAGCGCTACTGTACATGAAACTCTATCGGATGACAACTCCGATCTATAACAATGCATAAGCACGCAATTCAGGGTATAGCTTTGTTTATACAGCTATACAACGCAGACGAACTAACCAACTGTGCCGCTCTTTCTCGGAACGCTTGGGCCAGAGAAGCTGTTGCATTACGAGCATGTACGAACACCTGAAACAATGGCAACGAGGGCAAGTGCAGTTGTGAGAAACAAAGAATTGGCTATTAGATCTTACCAGAACTTGATGTCCTTTCTTGACGTAGCTCAGAACTTCATCGTAACAGACCTCATTCATTGTTTCTTGAACCTCTCGTGCACCTCCTGTTTTCTTAACGCCGATAAACCTATAGAAGGAGACGCCGTGAGTGAGTATCACTTCGGCTCCAAATGTAACGACTACAGGCTTTTCCTTTAATCCTAACTAAACAAAAACTAGGACGACAACAAGCGGAAATTCAGCGGTTGCATGATGTTCAAAAGCATTGGAGAGCAGTGATCTCCCCAATCAAAATTTGAACCTATGTCGTCCCTACATGATCATTATTTTGGCATTCTCACAACAGTGGACCAGTAGCTCTCCTCTTTACCTTTTTAGGTGAGTACTTCTTAAACCAGGTCATGTGTTAGCTGAAATGTTAGTCATCTTTTCAGTAGAGGTATCCAGTCTATCCAGTGCGCGACAACAAGTATACAATTTTGGTGAGTAGTCATTGATGTTGAAGTACGAAACGTAGACCTATATGACTCATTCGAAAGCAGGTTGGATGACACCAAACGATATCACAGCAACTAGGTCCGTTCCATGCTTTGGTAAAAACTTCACATGCCTTAGCCAATACCTTTTCACCTAAAAACTGCCTTTTCGCACAGCCCCCACTAGCACATGCCAGTTTTGTAGGAGAGTCATTAACGCATCCACCACTTCCCCAGCCACCGGACATACCCCCATGGTTATTTCAAATTAGGACTTTGGGCAGCTGTTGTGAGGCCTCTACTTTCTATGGTCTCCATCGACGACCATCTCGACAGCAAGGTTGGACTTTTGATTCTCGTAAAGTGACTCCTACACTGCTACATGTCTCATGCCCCTCGGAACAGTACAACGAAGTTTCGACTTAAGCTGCACATACCAAGGTAGAAACTTTGCCTATCGTGCATTCATGTCGGTGTTTTCGAAATTTCATTACGTCTGGATCGGCCATGTTCATCTTAACGAGTGAACTCCTCCAATATGACCCCTATAGCCCTCTCGCTCTGCCCTTACGGGCCCATCAAATTTGGCATGCATTTTGGCACACATTAGAACTCGCTTGTTTCTAAATTTCCGGTACCTACGTCCGGGATAGAATTACGAATTTTTGTCGCACTTATAGTGCACTTCGCAACCCAGTATTCATATTTTTCCTTTTTTTCCAGATATCTGAATTGTTCCAGGAACTCCAGCTGGTGATCGGCTAGGGATGCTTCAGCCCTGTTGAGTCCCTCCTTTTTGCCTTTTCTTCTTGCAGGCTTATCCGTGCATGCATGGATGGAGTCCGAGGGCGCGGTTGGAATCATGCACATTGGCTGAGCCTAAGGCTTGCATGGGAGTGACAGTACCTCGGAGGCGACTGCGAAACAATCATCGTCGCCTACGCGCCAATACCAAAGACCGCGAAGATGAGCTAGGAGCGTTTTGCACAAACCTGAAGAATTTCTATAAGGGCTCTAATATCTTTCGAGGTGCGAACCTCTGAACGATTGAGGTCGCTTCCATCTATCGCATCATAGTTACCATAGCTCTTTATTACCTTCCGTTCATTTGTTCATGGCTTTCACTTAAGTGGCAGGATCCTAAGCCTTCTATCAGTACGATAACACCACTGGGCAGACCATTTCGCTGGCAACATGTTGAAAAGCGTTTTGATCCAATTAATGATGTAACACTTTTGGCTATAATTTAACAAGCCCATTCCAGGCAGACGTTTGGAATTCCTCTTAGCTCGAGTTCAACTGCACGCTTATTCGTCCTTTGAGAGGAATTGAAGGAAGAATTTGGAAGAAATCTCAAGAAAGCATGCCATGGATTTAAAAAAGCAAAGCAACATGTCCTCGTTGAAACAAATCAAGCTTCCACGAGGACATATTCGCAGTGACACGAACTTGCTGAAATGCTGAAAAAGTCCTTTTTGAAAGTGTAGCGTTTTTTGTTCAACAGCCACAAGTATCCCTTCTGCTGCGACAAGTGAAAAGCGCGAACTTGGACCTATAGCTATGGATGTGGTTACTACATTGCAAAATCGAAGCAAACAAAACGTAATTGCATGGCTTCAATCAAGAAGGGAGTCATTGAGCATGACATCAAACTGCTCAAGTCCTTATCGGCATTCTGCGTTCGAGCAGGAGCAACCATTCCTTACAGCTTGGTCGAATAACTGTTGGAGGACGGAAATATCCAGGTTGCCTCTCTGCTTTTGTTTTTCTGAAGACTTTCCCTCGAATAACTTCGAATGAAAGAATGGTGCAGAGTATGAGATGAGGTTTGTCAGTTTTTTTTTCGACTAAAATAAGTATTAGAAGAAAAGTTTCTTATGAAATTCAATTGTTGTGGCATTCGAGTCTACATCTTCAACTGACATATTCTGTTTTTGAACACTTCTACGAAGAACATCATCATTACAGATCCTAAAAGTCAAGAGTGAAAGAGTTAGCAAAGCTTCTGAACGATGCATGAAAGGATGCTGTGCTTAAAGTAAAGGCTCAGTGATGTTCTTCCCAGCTCTAGAAACAGGAAATTCTACGTAATTGAAGAATTAAACTGCTAGTAGGTTGCCGTGACTCACATATTCCGCAGGTCGCGGTGCAACCTCTACAGCGTGTTTCACTAATTATCTTAGCAGGTCTGGAGGGCACCTGCTCAAAACAACTTGCTCATATTATAAACGTCTACATGTATCTAATACAGTGTACGAAAATAGAATGAAAGACGAACTTTTGCGTAAGAGGCACCGGTCGGAAACGTCCATCAAAGAAGAAAAGGCCCTTATACGGATTCACACGTAAAAATCGAGCAACATCTGCATAGTTTGGTAACGTCGCTGACAATCCAACAATACGAATTCCAGTTTGAGACATTTCCACCTAGGAAATTCCAGTACAGTATCTAGGGAAGGATTATTCAATGAACATAAAAGTTAGCACCTGTCTTAATGTTCGGGCAACAATCGTTTCAATAACTGGACCCCGATCATCATGCAACAAATGGACCTAGAAGTGGTCTATATCCAGACGAGCCAACACTAGTATGAGTAGTAAACATAAATGATTAAAGATTTGTGAAAGATTAAAATACGAACTTCATCAATGATCAACAGCCTAACAAGAGAAGTCAAAGAGTTGTCGCTTGATCCCTTTCTTGTGACAACGTCCCACTTTTCGGGCGTCAGCACGAGCATCTAGATGAGATGTTGAAAATCTAATTATCCAGGAAAAAAGGCCTCAAAAAAAAGCGGGACACGTTCAAAAACAGGATGGTATAGATTATAATGTTTTAAGCAGGAAGTAAATATTCATGTAAAGCGAATAAACATTTAGCGGTCAGAGGAAATTGCTCTCCTAGGTTGCATAAACGCTATTTTCAATCAGAAAATATTAGAGTAAAGCATTTTGCGTTGATGGTCTTGTAATAAGACGCGCGCACTCATCGAGTTTCCAATCAAAATCGCAGTATCGTAAATAGCCTCCAAAATGAATTGCGGAAGCACGATGTACAAGCCAGCGTATTCATTCACCTGGAAAAACTTCGCAGTATTTAATTGGCTTTGCAGTAAAAGGAGACGGTTTAGGCGGGTATAGACTTGGGATTAGATTTCCGAATTATGCGCGTGGTAGCGCGCCGCTTAACACCTTCCTACTTGGGTTCAACCCACTAAATGTATGAATTCGAGCAGCATAAGTGAGATTCATTCCGTTGATTGAAACCTAAATTTTGAAAGTTTTAGTATGCGGTTCCGCGCTTCGTCTCAAAAAAAGCCTGTTTCAACATCATCCAGTGATCTTCAGATCAGACAGCAATGCGGGCGAATCAACGAGAATTTCACATTTCAGCTCGTCAAAATAAAACGAGAAGTGTGATAGCAGAACTTTCTAAATTGCCCAAATTTATGCATCCGTTTTCCGACCTGGCAACAAAATAACTATTAGGCAGATGAACAAGTTTTGCGACAATTTTGTAAGCCCAATTAATGAATACACCCTAATGACTCAAGGAGACGTACATAAGGAGCCTTGCATGATATTAGAAAAAACATCCAAAATGAAAGCTCCATCCTCGAACAGCTAGATTACCCGCTACAATACGAGTGTACGTGTGAGCGTTGATAAGTTAACCTACTTTATATAATTCGCTAAGTGTGTCTGTTGGTGTGTCGGTGTGTGCGTCTGACCGGAAATTCATAACTGCTGTCCCCGTGGACCTAGAGCGTCCAAAATTGGTAGGAGTAAGGGGGACAGGATGAGAACACCTATGGTAAGTGGCAGGACCGGACTCCGTTTACAGGGAGCGTGGCGTGCGCGTTAGAAACTTTGGGCTGCAAACTCATAACCCCTGCCTTCGTGGACCGAGAGCGTTCATATTTGGTACGAGCAAGGGGGGCAGATAGGAACACCTTTGGTAAGTGGCAGAACCGGAATCCGTGCACAAGGGTTGGGGTTTTGCGCCGCAATAGTCAATTTGGCCCTAGGGCATTCAGACCAGGCAGGAGTACAGGCGGCAGGATGGGAATATTTATCGTAGGTGGGGGACCGCCGAAACTTTCAGTTTGCCTCTAGGGCGTACAAACTTGGTAGAGGCAGTATGGGAACACTTATGGTGAGTAGTAGGGCCGGACCACGCCCCCAAGGAACAGGATTTCGCGAAATAAGTGAGTGGAAATCCATAACTCCTGATCCTGTGAACTTGGAGAGCAATCAGTAGGAGGAGGCAGGATAGAAACACTTTCAATAGAAGATGCCTCAGAGAAGAAGATCCACTCACCACCTAAACCCTAGCGCCTTTGTTATTTACTATCTAGCTTTGACTTTTTATATGTTTCATTCGACAAGAAGGTTAAGTTGGTGATTATAAGTAGATGAATTTGGTTCACTTCTTGCTATTAGATTACGACCGCTAAACAGCAGAGTTTGCGATTAAGTAAAAGATCTCGGTTTCCCTTTGCTTTGATATCATTCTTAGCAAAATTTATCCGACCGGTAATAATGTTGGGTTCACATCGCTCAGCGAAAAAGCGAAATAACATATTAAAAAGGGGGAATTTCATCAATTCGATATTTTTGGGCAAAGTCCCTTTGCCTCAAGAAGGAGGAGAGCCCTTGATGATGGCATTGAGGAACATTGATGATAGCTAACACAGTAGCCTCAGCCGCGATGAAGTCTCTGAATACTTTTTTCTCTGAATAATCGCCTTTGTGAATAAACGATGTTCTTTCGGACACAGCGAGATTGGCTTACAGAAAAAATCGCTCCCAATTCGGAGCTGATACTGAGGGTGTAGAGCTTTCAAAGCAAAAGGAGAATCCGGAGTGTTATTCACGCATAGCAAATTTCTCACAGGAAGAAGGAGCGCCCGGGCCGGGCGAACCCATAAGAAGGAGAGAAGCCCGGCGCTAGCCGGGCAGCCCGACTGGTCCTACTATAAGTAATTTGCTAAGTGCGTCTGTTGGTTTGTCGGTGTGTTTGTGTGTGTGTCGGTGAGTGTGGCTGACCGGAAATCCATAACTCCTGTCCCCGTGGACCTAGAACGTTCAAATTTGGTAGCAGGACCCACGGCAGGATGGGAACACATATGGTGGATGGCAGGTCCAAACCCCGCCCGCAATGGGTGGGTGGGGTTTGCGCGAAATAAATGTTTGAGCGGAACGTAATAACTTCTGTCTCGGTGGACCTAGAGCGTTTAAATATAGCAGGGTTATTGGAGGCAGAGTGAGAACATTTATGGCGGGTGGTAGAACCGGACCGCGTGAAGAGGGGGCGGAGGTTTACGCGATAGAAATCATAACTGATCATAACTGATAAAGAGGATAAGGGACCTAAGAGGGACCACCTACCGATCAAAATCCTAACCTCTTCGGCATCTACGATACAGCTTTGAGAGTTCAGTATGTTTCAGTTTCAGACGGGATGGTAGAGCAGGGTGACAAAAGTGAGTGGAAAGTGCAGTGATAGGGACCCATTAGGGCAAAACGATGAGCAGATTAGAAGCTTATTCATTACTTACTGTTAGTTTACGACCACTACCCAGCAAGGTTTGTGATTCAATGAAAGATCCTATTTGCTCTATGTCACTTGCTGTTACGTTTGTGGGCCGCTGGTAGACGGTTGATAGCCAGGTATATCAGGAAGGTTTATTGGTCGAACCAGCTGAGACGAAGTGAGGAGAGAGAAAAGTAGTCACTGATAAATTACTGGGTTTATATACTGTGTGTTTACACCTAGTAAGTCATATCAGTATGCAGTGATCTCAGTAGTCTGTGGATACCTAACACCTCCCCTTTTTAGGAGAACATTACATACAATACTGATCCTTTCATATCACATTTGACGATAGGTC